TAATTACATTTGTATTTTAAAAAATGAATGGTTAATGTGATTTTGTGTGTAAAACTAAATACAAATGCAATTAGATGAAATGACTACCAATATCCGATTAATTTATTTTTTTAAAAGTATATTCTGTTCAATATGCTCTAAGAATTGATAATTCATGTTATCAAAATAAGGCCCAAAGTAAGTCCAATTAGCCGCACATCAATGACTATTGTGCTTTATGCACAGCAGCTACCCATCTCCCTTAAAATTTGGCAACATTTGTCTGTCTGTTAACATTTAACAGAATTAATCCATTGGCAAGCTCTTAAAGGGTGTGTTTGATTGGGGGGATAAGGGGGGGGACTATCCACTGTTTGGACTCCATGTCCGGCCTCCCTCCTTATCCGTCGTTTGATTTTTTTTTAGTCCGGCGGACTCCATGTCCGGTCGGACTCCATGTCCCCCATATGGGGGACTATCCTATCCTGGGGGGGTGGGATTGTTTTGGGGGGGACTAATCACTGTTTGGATTAGATGCAAAAATGACAATTTTGACCCTCTACTATTTAATTATGCATTATATTTAATAAAATTTAATAAAATTTAAATGTCTCAATTTAAAAATAAAATAATTTTATTTAACTTTTTATTAATGTTTTATTTATTTAATTTTTTAAAATAATTTTTTATAGATATTTTATTGATGTTTTATTTTAAAATTTTGTTTATGTTTTATTTAATTTCATTGTTTAAATTTAATAGATGTTTTAATAGATGTTTTATTTAAACAATTAAATGTTTAATTTCAACAATAAATAATTTCATTTATTTAAATTATGTTTTATCTAAACATTTGTACATCAACATGTTTATTAAATTATTTCAACATCTGTACATCAACATGTATATTTATTTAACATCTATTAAATTATGTTTTAATACATCAACATTTGATTACATCTACATTTGTTAATTGTTAATTACATCAACATTTGTTAATTGTTTAAACATAATCTATACATCAAAAAACAGAATCTAACAATGCCATGGTGCTTAAATTTGAATTTGGAGTGATTGTTGTGCTTTATGCACAGTGTCACTGTTGTAGGATCAATGTGGTTTATTATGGGCCCTATTTCAATATTTGAATTGTTTACTTTTTTTAGAGTATATGAAATAAAATATATTTGTAAAAAATCAAATTGATCAGATATTGATAACTTTTTCCTCTAATTACATTTGTATTTTAAAAAATAAATGGTTAATGTGATTTTGTGTATAAAACTGAATACAAATGTAATTAGATGAAATGACTACTAATATCCGATTAATTTAATTTTTTTCAAGTATATTCTACTCAATATACTCTAAAAATTGAATAATTCATGTTATCAAAATAAGGCCCGAAGTAAGTCCAATTAGCCGTACAACAATGACTATTGGGCTTTATGCACAGTAGCTACCCATCTTCCTTAAAATTTGGCAACATTTGTACTTCTGCTAACATTTAACAGAATTAATCCATTGGCGAGCTCTTAAGCTGTGCTAAGAGTTTAAGAGTTCGACTCTTTCCATCTGCACGAGGGTCATATTACCCTTGTAATCATTTGGGGTATCTCTCTCCTTCTTCGACACTTTATTTGTAGTTAACTGTGCTATAATTTTTGATTACTACGTGTCACTGTATTGAGATACATTGTAATTTTTTTAAAGGATAATTACACTGATGGTCCTCAAAGCATACATTACGTTACATTTTAAATCTCAATATTTTAATTGTTCTATTTCAAGTCACAAAGTATCCGATCCATTGCACCATATTCAAAATGAGTAAAAAAAAGAAATATTTATAAAATTTTACATGAAATTACAACAAAATTAAAATGATCAATAATGAGGAGCCTAATAGGTTTGACTTGGTGCCTCTAGTCCCCGTCAATGCTCGATTTTAGAAAGAAAAAATATTTATATTAATTTGATGGGTCTAAATAAAATAATAACATTAGGTTGTTTTACAATACACATTTTTTTTTTAGAAAGTATATACCATATGTAAGTTATGTCATCTATATCATAAATATTATAATTAAATCACTTTTATACTCAAAATTAAAAACAATAAAATGGATCATGATCAAATATCACTTATGACATGACTAACCCTTTTTCGTTCATAAGTAAAATAATAATTACAATAAGTTACAACACTAACAATTTAAGGTTTTAAAAACACAAATTTAGATATAAAATCACTTTTTAGGTATGTAATTTTTTTTGTCAAAAATAGCATTATTGCATTTTTAAACACAAAATTGGACATTTAGTGATAAATTATCTTTTTGGGAACAAAATTGTATCTAAAAAAATAAATCTTTTTGTGACCAAATTATTATCCCTAAAAATGCATCTATTAGCGACAATATTAAAATTTTCTTGCTAAATTTTTTTTAAAAAAAATTTTGAATTGACATTTTAGCAACTATTGTCATAAAAACACAATTGGTTCCCTTCTTTTTTTTCTTTTTTTTTTTTTTTGAACAAATTTTTTATATTTTGAAACAAAAATTTGGATTTTAAAACTCCTATTTGTCGTAGTATAACCAACTTCACAACATAACTAACCGTCATGACCAAAGACTAATTGAGACATAATCAAATCTACCTCTTGAGGCATAACTAAAATAAAAGAGATATTGACTAATAAGTCTCATATTTTGAATTTGTGATCCATGTAATCTCATATTTTTTCTTATGATCCAGTTAGTCATTTTGAATGTATAATGACTCGTTTGTCTACTACAATAGAGTGCCACATTTAAAAAAAGTAAACTAAGAAATTTTCTAGTGTCACATCATACCCGCTACGCTGGAGTCATATTTAGAAAAAGTACACCAATGAATTTTTAATTTTTTTGGAGTATTACACCATGTTTGCTACGTTGTCACATTTGAAAAAAAATACACTAAGAAATTTATATTTTTTTAGAGTATTGTATCATATCTGCCACGTTAGAATGTCACATGTTACATTTGAAAAAAATACACTAAAAAATTCTTAATTTTTTTTTGAAATATCACACCATACCCGCCACATCGTCATATTTGAAAAACAGTACACTAAAAAGTTTTAAATTGTCACATCATACGTACCAGAGGGCTGAGCAAGGAATCCGTAAAATCCATAATCCGATCTACTCCAATCCAATCCGATAGGTTTGAATTGATTTTTTGAATCCGTGGTTCGTTTTCAGATTGAAAATAAAAAATCCGTAGTCTACGGATTGGTTCCGGATTGATCCCTAAGGTTCCGGATTGGAACCGATCCGGACCGTATACAAATAGTCTATATTTTTATTACACATCCTCCCCCATAGTATCTTCTCTTATTCTATATAAAATCTAAACTCAAGCCTAAAATCGTATAATATCTTCTTTTATTACTTTTGTTTGTTGGTTTTTAGTTTTAATTTGTAATGGTCTAAATATTAATTATGAAACTAATTTTCTTATGGTTGTTTAAATTCTAGAATAGTATGTCGCTATTATAGAAAACATATTGTTATTGTGAAAGTAATATAGCGTTATGTTTATATTTTTATGAAATTAAAATGTTATATAAATATATATATATATATATATATATTTTTGTTATTTAATTATATGAATCTGTGGTCCTAAACCGATCCAATCCGTATTTAAATGGATTGGTTCGGATTGGTTTTATGATTTAAATGGATTGGATTAATTCCAATTTTTCAAGAACCGTAGATAACAGATTGATCCTGATTTTACCCCAATCCAATCCGATCCAATCCGAACCATGCTCACCCCTAACCTACCACATCATTACATTTAGAAAAAATACACTAAGAAATACACTAAGAAATTTTTAGTTTTTTTTGAAGTGTCACATCATATGCATCATATCGTTACATTTGAAAAAAAAAATACACTATGAAATTTTTAGTTATCACATCATACACGCCAACATCGTCACATTTAGGAAAAATACACTAAGAAATTTTTAATTTTTTTTGAAACATCCCATCATACCCACCACGTTAGAGTGTCAAATGTTTACATTTGGTAAAAATACTGTCACATCATACCTGCCACATCACCACATTTAAGAAAAATACACAAAAAAAATTTTAATTTTTTTTAGAGTGTTACATCATACCCATCATATAGTTACATTTAAAAAAAAAAAACTAAGAAGTTTTTAATTATCACATCATACCCAACAGCATCGTCACATTTAGAAAAATTACACTAAGAAATTTTTAATTTTTTTTAAACGTCGCATCATACCCACCATGTTAAAATGTCAAATGTTACATTTGATAAAAATACACGAAAGAATTTTAGTATTTTTAGAGTGTCACATGTCACCTTTAGAAAAAATACATTAAGAAATTTTTAATTTTTTTGCAATATCACATCATACTCGCCATTTTGGAGTGTCACATTATACATGTCACAGTCATAAAACGGTATAGTTATCTACCAAAATACTACCAAAATCGAAAATAAAACTACACGAAACGAAACTCTCCACTAATAGGACTCAACATATCAATAGAAAAAAACTTAGGACTAATTAAAGTACTTACTTGTGAGAGCATCTCCAATGGAGACGCCAAAGGAGATGCCAAAGCCATAATTTGACAAGTGTGAGAAAAAGGATCTCCATGGTTTACTATTCCTCTTGTCAAATATAAAAAATGTTATTTTTGTTATCAAATTTAACAGGAAATTTGACATTTGGCATTTGGGAAACATGCCACATCATCAAACATCAATAGATTTTTGACTCCAAATCAGTTGATCCTCTCCCTGAAAAACCTCCCAAAATGTTTGAAGTTTTTTTTTTTTTAATCTACAAAGTTCACCATTTTTAAAAAAAGAAACAGACTTCGTTTATTTATTTATGTTCCTTCAATTTATTTATTTCTTTTTTTGAAAATAAATTTCCCCAATTTCTGCATTTTCTAAACACAAATTTATCGGCAATTTCAGAATGATCATTCAAGAACTAGTTCCATAAATTTCACAAATTTTAGTTAAGAACAAATCACAAATTTCATAATGAATTTAGAACAAATCAACTCAAATTTCAGTCAAGAACAAATAAACCCATATTTCACAAATTTATGTAAATTTCTGAAACGAATTTAGAAGATAAATACCTCGAAACCAACATCATCTCGTTTCACAAATTTATGTAAATTTCTGAAACGAATTTAGAAGATAAATACCTCGAAACCAACATCATCTCGACCGCATTCAGACGCTGATAATCATGTTGGACCTTCGAAAACCACCCAAAATCGGAATAATGACTATGGGAGCACCAAGATAAATGGTATTGCAGGCCACAAAGGAGATGGAGAGGTCAATCAACCCCATGAATCAGAGCAATCACTTTACCAGGAAAACATGGAGGAAATCCGACACAGTTGCGTTCGGTTCAGAATGACGTGGCCAAGAAGAGAGGGATGATGGACAAAGAGAAAGAGAGAGCTGGGTTTGATGAAAAAGAAGATGACAAAGAGAAAAAATAGTAGTTGCCTTAAGACAGCTGCTGAAAATTCCAAAGGATAATGGACAAGCACAACGTATAAGCGCATCCACTGTTTTTATAGTGTCCTGGAATAATGGACACAACAATGATTCATCCCCTTTTCCACTCATCCTCTTTGACCTCTTCTTTCTCTCATTGGTTACATTTTCTTTTTTTTTTTTCTTTTTTTTCCTGCTCCTCCAATCACCACCTGCCACGTGACAAAAGGAGTGAGGGGTGACCCCAGAAGAGGATCCCAAATATTATTCTAATGGACAACTGCTCACTGTTTGCTGAAAATTTCAAAGGATAATGGATAAACACAACGGATAAGCACATCCACTGTTTTTATAGTGTCTTGGAATAATGGATAATTGCTCTTTTGTCCCTTAAAAAAAAATTGTGTTATAATTTAGAATAAAGTAGTGTTACATGTACCAATTATTATATTAATTAATGTATTAATATTAATTATGATATTATTATTAATTTCACTTATTATTTAAATTAAAATATCAAAAATTAATTAATATACTAATTAATACATTAATTAATACATATAATATTATTTTTTAAAATAATAGGTGATTATTGATAAATAAATGGTAGGTAAATAATGAACGAGGCCTTTGGAACGATCTGGAAAGGAAATTAAATTTTATTTTATTTTATAGAGATATGTGGATGGTGAGATAAATTATATTTATATATATATTTTAATTTTTTTTATTTGTCTAGTGGATTAGAATGACGTGGCGAAGAAGAGAGGGACGATGGAGGGAGAGAGAGCTGGGTTCGATGAAAAAGAAGATGAGAAAGGGAAAAAAGAGTAGTTGCCTTAAGATAGCTACTGAAAATTCCGAAGGATAACGGTGTTATTTGGTGTAATTGTTAAAACAGATTATAAATTATAGTTTAAGAGATTATGGATTATAATTTTAATTAGAAACTGTTAATCTCTTTGGTATAACTGTTGGATTATAGATTTAAGTTGCTGAGCAGTGTTTGTTAAATAAGTTTTTAATTAATTTTTATTTTTTATTATTTACTATTTGTCTACATTTCTCATAAAAAATAATAATAATATTTTATGGTCTATTTGGGTCTTTTTCTATTCTTAAAAAAATAAAAAATAAAAAAATTTAAGAGTATAATCGTGGATTAACATGTCCACATCAGAAACTGATAAGCAGAAGTAAGGGGTGAGCAGCTTCTCAGAATCAATTTTTTTGACTTAAAATAAGTTGTTAAAATTAAAAACTATTTGAAATAAGTTTAAACAAACAATTTAAAATAACTTTTTAAAAATGAAAAACCATAAATTGATTCAAAAAAATCCTACCAAATACTCCAAGTGGATAAGCACAACAGATAAGCCCATCCACTGTTTTTATAGTGTCTTGAAATGATGGATAACTGTTCACTGTTTGCTGAAAATTGCAAAGGAAAATGGTTAAACACAACGGATAAGCACATCCACTGTTTTTATAGTGTCGTGGAATAATGGATAATTTCTCTTTTTTTCTTTAAAAAAAAAATTGTGTTATAATTTAGAATAAGATAGTGTTATATGTACTAATTAATATATTAATTAGTGTATTAATATTAGTTATGATATTATTATTGATCCTATTTATTATTTAAATTAAAAATATCAAAAACTAATTAATATATTAGTTAGTACACTAATTGAAACATATAATATTATTCTTTAAAATAATGGGTAATAAATGGTAGGTAAATAATGAACGAGGCCTTTGGAACGATCTGGAAAGGAAATTAAATTTTTATTTTTTATTTTATTTTATAGTGGTATGTGAATGATAGGATAAATGAATGATAGGATAAATTATATTTACATACTTTTTTTAAATTTTTTATATTTGTCTAGGGGACTAGAATGACGTGGCGAAGAAGAGGGGGATGATGGAGAGAGAGAGAGAGCTGGGTTTGGTGAAAAAGAAGATGAGAAAGAGAAAAAAGAGTAGTTGCCTTAAGATAGCTACTGAAAATTCCGAAGGATAATGGTGTTGTTTGGTGTAATTGTTAAAATAGATTATAAATTATAGTTTAAGAGATTATGGATTATAATTTTAATTAGAAACTGTTAATCTCTTTGGTATAACTGTTGGATTATAGATTTAAGTTGCTGAGCAGTGTTTGTTAAATAAGTTTTTAATTAATTTTTATTTTTTATTATTTACTATTTGTCTACATTTCTCATAAAAAATAATAATAATATTTTATAGTCTATTTGGGTCTTTTTCTATTTTTAAAAAAATAAAAAATAAAAAAATTTAAGAGTATAATCGTGGATTAACATGTCCACATCAGAAACTGATAAGCAGAAGTAAGGGGTGAGCAGCTTCTCAGAATCAGTTTTTTTGACTTAAAATAAATTGTTAAAATTAAAAATTGTTTGAAATAAGTTTAACCAAACAATTTAAAATAACTTTTTAAAAATAAAAAATCATAAATTGATTCAAAAAAATCCCACCAAATACTCCAAGTGGATAAGCACAACAGATAAGCCCATCCACTGTTTTTATAGTGTCTTGAAATGATGGATAACTGCTCACTGTTTGCTGAAAATTAGCGCTTCTTGCGATAGACCCTGGGCTTACCGGAGCAAACAGTTCCAGCACCTCCTCCTACCCACGTGAGGCATATCGAGAGGTACACCTTAGAGGAGATGGTGGACTACACGATTGGCTGGGACTCTGAGCCCTTTAGAGATGAGGGCGACTACACCGAGTTCATCCAGGCCTATCTGATGCGGCCTTTGACCGGTGCTCGCCGAGCTGAGAGAGAGAGGCCTGCGGCGCCAGTGGCAGGAGCAAGAGCATCGAGGGCACCTCAGGCCCGTGGGAGGAGTGGGTCCCGGAGAGGACAGGGAACTGGATGGCTAGAGCTACCCACGACGATGACATACCGAGGACAGGGTGGGGAGACTTACTAGATACCCACCGCTCCTCCTCCGACTGATCATGAGCTTGTTGGAGTTTGCGGCTCGACCCCGGTACGTGCTATACTTTGCATTCTGTACAGTCATTTCATTTCAGTTGATATCTCGCAGAATACTAATGACTTCAACACTTTTGCAGGCTTCGATAGAGTACACTGGTCAGTCTCTGGAGCTGACGGCTTCGGTGATGGGGATGCTGCAGAGGAGCATAGACCTGCTGAGCATTTACGGTATCCCGGTGAGTTCTTTCAACCTCAGTCCCAAAACTTTGCATAATCTGTTCCATACTGATCTGATGCATCACATTATCAATACGACGCTCGATATACTACACTCACTTACCTCTTACGACACTGATACACTGTAACTTATATGCTGCTCACAGCATTCATACACTGCACTCATACACTGCTCACGGTATTCATATACTGCTCACAGCATTCATACACTGTACTCATACACTACATTCATACATTGCTCATGGTATTCATACACTGCTCACATTATTCATACACTGTACTCATACACTATATTCGATACCATACTCGACTTCGCATAGCATGACTAATGCATTTGCCAATTGTTCTTTTCAGGCCCCATTCCAGATATCGGCCGTAGGGGGTGCCTTAGCGGGACCTTCAGTACCTGCCCGAGGTGCGAGGAGAGCAGGACGAGGGATCTCAGTACACAGTTGTAGTAGAGCCGGGCGCACTCACTCTGGGAGTAGCTCATGGGCGCCTGCCCCAGATGATGATGAGTCTGATGCAGAGGTGGAGTCGTCTCAGGATGAGGCTGGGGATGGCTCCGGTTCAAGCTCAAACAGCGGAGCTGACGGTGGCGATCCTGGACCTTCGTCCAGGAAGAGGATGAGGACAGACTCCCGCGCTTGAGGCGACTGGTGCCGATCCAGATGCTACTCTTCTTTTTTTGCTTTACTTTTCTTTTTACTAGTAGTTTTGCACATTGTATTGCGTCAGATAGATTTTATTTTTCTTTAAAACTATGTACTTTTGCAAAAGAAATATGATGGAATGAAACAACTCTTTTTGTTGAAAAAGGTGTTACATTTGTACATTCTAAACATCGCATCGCATTACATCACATAACAATGTAAATGAGATTGAACTTTGTTTTGAAAACCAAACGCTCGAATTGCATCAATTAGGTAGTAAACCGACTAACAACAAAACAACTCGATAAGCAAGACAAAGAACTCGACAAGCCAACCAAGTGTAATTACAACTCGATAAGAAAAACAAAGACTTAAAGAATACGAAATACAACTTGATAAGCAAATGTACAACAACTCGATAAACAAATTGAAGTAACACAGGCGCGGCTTCGCAAAATCATCACCGAAAAGCATTGGAAGTGGTACCAATCACAAGTTCTCAGCATGTTCAATGCATAGACAGCTCATAGAACAAAGGGAAAGGCCATCGGCCACAAGAAATGGCCATTGGCCAACATTTCTAGCCAATCGGCCAAAAAAGATGGTCGGTCGGCACTATTTGTGGCCGGTCGACCAAACATGGCAAGAACCTCCAAAATGTTGACACCTGTCTTCCACTCAACACCTTATCTTCTACAAAAGCCTCAGTTTCGTAGTTTTCCTCATTTCAGCTCTAATTTGCACCAAATGGAAGAATTTCTTATCCAAAATCTCACAACTTAGATTGCCAACTTGGATGGCTCAGAAAGGCTAAATTTCCGGAGCTTTGGCATAAATGCACTATTCATGCGGGGTCGCACCCCGCTGTGTTTTCCATTCCTATATGTCGCGGCAAGGTTTTGGAACCCGGTAACACACGTCTTTAGCTTTTGTGGTTAAGAGATGTGTCCCGCTTTCGAGGATTTCCAAGCTTTAATGGAATCCGAGCGTGAAGAAGAAATTTTGCCTCAACTTCGGTTCGGCCACGTCCAAGCTTTAGGAAGGATGTGCGGCCTTACTTTGCACGATGCTCGGTCATTGGTTCACGATGGAGAGTTGGACATTCCGAGCTTGGTTTGTCGATTTTCTGATGCCGGTGACCGCGACGATCATCATTGGCAGGGCTATCAGCGACACGCACTTTGCTTATGCATGCTGTCTCATTTTTTGCTTGCCCCAGGCTCTGGAGGGTTTAGCACTCGTTTGATTGAGGTCGTCGAGGGCCTAAAAGAAGGCAAGAGCTGTATCGCCATGACGCTAGCTGAAACTTTGATAGGTTTGGACGCTTTTCATTGCCAGGAGACGGCTAGATTCGCGGGGAGTCCATTACTATTGCAGGTAATGTTTCCCACCCTATCTCACATATATTGCTCACATCACTCAGCCCTCAGGCTCGGTTTTTCTCTCAAAAC